CTAATTAATGGTGACACATCATTAGAATTTCATTTTCATACCATAATATGAAACTCTTTTTAAAATTTAAACAAAAAAATACAATCGATTCAACAAATATTATTTTGAATAAACGATAGTTTTCAAAACTCATTTTAATATATATATATATATATATATATTTACGAGACTTAATCAGAAAAATTGACAAGCACGGACACAAAATCCATGATGGTAACTAACCAACAAGTATGGACATACAGTCCATGGGGGTAAGTAACCAACAAGTGCATCTTAAAGCCATAAAATAATCAAGCACAGGCTCGAGGCCTTTGAAAACAAGCGTGAGTACAATACTCATAAATTACCATTTATTTGATCCACGTACGTTGGCCTTCGCATGGGGTTAGCACCCCCTACAAACACCCTATTAACTAGGTATACTATAGCACGCTAAGGGCTAATGAAACTACTATTAGCATCTAGTATTTTGAACTCTTCCCCTCAAGTAAAAACAATCAAGCGTGCAAGGAATTGAAAACAACTCAACATTTTCGATTCCAAAGTATACCATTCAACTACCATATTCCATTTCTTAAACTCATTTTCATTTCTTCCTTGCATGAATTTTTGTATTAAAAGTTTTCGTATTAACATAGAGTTAAACAATTAAATTACTTTTTAAAAATTAAAATTGTTTATTCTATATCAACTTCAATCACTTCTTATTTTGTAACATAAATCACAAAAATAGAATTGTCAAGAATGTTTTTACAACTTCTAAAGGAATAATATCAAAATTTAAATAAAAAGATTTCATGAACATTTTGCAAAAAATTATTTGGGACATTGCCCATTCACCTAGGAGTTTTCAAAAAAAATTTTATGACTCGATTCTCTCAAGTTCCCACTTATACTCCAATGTCCAAATAATCTAGCACATAAACCCACAATCCTTATGTCATTATAATTTCTCTTTAGATGCTACATAATTCTAATAATCTAGCACATATAATTCTTGAAGTAATGTTTACAATTCCTCTAGGCCCTGATATGAAAATTAAATAGTTTTACCTCCACCAAATTCCATGTTTGGATACCTTAAAAACACAAAACAAACTAAATTATAGGAAACTCGATATTCCTCAAGATAACAACAATTTAATTTTCCAAACCATATTAAAGATAATACTAGAGTCAATTATCTTTCAAGTATCCTTGAGTCCATTATATTATTTGACAAATCTAAATTCATCCTTGTACACCTTGTAATCCATCCTCAATCATCAACCGTGATAGATCACATTAACTCTTCTTATGCTTTCTTTAAACTTAACAAAGAACTATAATGATAATTCTATTAAATCATTTCTCCTATGTTGGCATCCTAAAATATCAACCAATAGCTCAAGCTAATATTTACCCTTGTACTTTCAAGATATAAAATGGAAATTTAACAACATTAATTTACTAAATCATTTACTCAAGCATTTTTACAAATACCTTGAAAACATTCCTCAAAGCTTAGTCCATACTAAGCCTTCAATAATTTAAATAACTTTTCATATTAACTTTATCATCAACATTCAGTTTAACCTTCCAATAAAATTATATATAGTATCAACCAAATTAAATCAGCTCCTCATTTTCTCAAGAATTCATGGTAGCAATAATTTGAAAAAACAGAGGCAGAATCTTTGACCCAAAGAGAAGAGAAACAACAAGCTTACCATAAGCACGTGCAATGGCTAGAACTAAGGAGGAGGAGAAGTTGAAGATGACAGACATACACATGCCAACACAAGGCATGAAAGGAGCAAAGGAGGACGATAGGGGAGGAGTATTTGATGACTCCAACCCCACAGCAGCCGGCGATGTGGATGGAGAGAAGAGTAGAGGACGAACTAGCGATGGTAAAGAGACACAAGCTGATGACAAGCAAAGGAAATTGACGAGAAGAACTAGAGGAGTACAATAGCGATGAAGAGAAATAAAGAATGGGATGCTCTGTCCTTCGCAAAAGAATAAGAAAAAAAAATCTGGCTAAGAATAATTTGAAAAAATTACAAGAAAGACAAGAAAAATTACAAAAAAAGAACTCTGAACTTTCAAGAAAGTTACTAGCATAAGTTTCATTTAAACTATCACTCTTCACTTGCTATAAAACTAATTTAAATAAAATATTAATTGAAAAAAAATTAATTTAATTTAATTTAATTTAAAATTTAGGGTCATTGAAAGAATGCACAACACACCAAAAAAAAGTTTAGAAAAAAAAATCAACACGTTAAGTCTTTAATCCAAAAATAAAATAAGTGAACTTTGCACGTGTCAAACTTTTTCATTATACCATTTTTCCCAATTTGAGATATACTCTCTCCATTTTTAATTATAAAAAATAAATTTTAAATGATTTCTTTTTTGATGAGTAAAACAATAATTTTTAAGAATTATTTATAAAATTTTTCTTTAATTTCCTTTCATTAAATAAATTAGAAAAATGAAGGATTAATCATAAGAGCATTTTAATTCAAATTTTTTAATCTCAGACATAATTATTATGATTATCTTTTTTTTTTTAAATTGTGTGAGTTAGTTAAATTTTGTTTATATTCAAATAATGGATAGCATAATTTCTAACATTTATTCCTCTAATTCTATTTAAAAGTCACTTCCAACATATTTTATTAGAATAAAAAATTTTAAAATTTATTAACTATGTTTGAAAATTTAATAAGTTTTTAACTTTATCCCTATTATATATATATATATATATATTAATAATTTATTTTCTCTCATTGATATTAAATGGAAGGTAAAATGAAAAACTTAGGATAAAAAATCAATGACATAATTTATAAATTGGATAAAAATATTTTCTTTTACTACCTTATAAATAAAATTGAGGGGATACGGTTTTTCAATAACTGAAATTGAAACTAATTCACTAAAAGGGAAGGTTTATTGTTATTCTTAATCTATATCATCATTGTTGTCAATTTTGATAGGCATGTTGGAGGCAGATGAAGTCAAGACAATGGCATCGATTAATTTCGGAGGCAACAGGATTGAAGGGAAATAAGTCCCTACGTTCCCGTTGTAATTTTCTACTAATTTGGACCACCTTTTCTTGTGTTGGGACATGTCCTTAATTATCTTGAGAAAATCTCAATTCAAGAAATTACTCTCCCCATAGTCTCATTTTATAAGATATTTTTAGATGTGTTGGTACAAAAAATATTTTTATAATAAAAAAGATATTTATATATGTGATCTAACATCCTAAAATATAAGATGCTTTATTTTTTTTGGCCAAAAAAATAATATGTTTTTAAAAAATAAGGTTTATTTAATAATGATTATTCTAATATTATCCCTCTCTCTTTTATTAATTAAATATATTTTTGAAATTTTATGGAAAAACTAAGATTACTAAATATATTGAATAAATTTCATTGACATGTGTAATTTTATTAAAAGAAATTACTCCCTCTGTTATTAAGAAAAGTTTAAAAACTTTTTTTGTCCTTAATATATGCAAAGTTAAAATAATTAAAATGTTTCAATTTTATCATTTGTTTATTTATTAATGTATCAATTCCTATACAACAATTCATTATGGTTATTAATTATAAAAAAGAGTAATACTAAAAATTACATTTTTCAAAATAAATTTGAAAATATAACTACTATTTTAAAATAAGTAAAAATTTAATTAACTTTATTTTATGTTAAAAAATAAAAACAAGAAGTAGCACACTTCCTCTGTTTTAAATTATAAGATACTCTTAAAAAAATTTATCCATCTCAAAATATAAGACATTTTGAATATATTAAGGTTTTATTAAATGTATCAATTTTAAATTTACACTGTCTCTCTCTATAATTAATTTTTATCTCTTCTCTTTTTAATATATTAAATAATAAATATTTTTAAAATTTTATATTTTTATTTTAAAAAAATAAAATTATTAAATATATTTAATGAGATTTATTAATATATAAAATTTTATTTAAAAATATTTTATAATTTAAAATAAAAAGAATATAAAATTGAAAAGAAAGGATTACCCTCTTTTACATAAACATCCCCTCACCTTCCCATTGCTTTTTTCCATCAATCAAAAGTCAAAAGTCAAAACAATCATTATCAGTTGGTGTCGTTTTCTTTCGAACTTGTCGGATGCTCTACATCAGGCGTATTGACTTCAGTCTTCCCTTTATTTCCTGAGAAATTAAATATTCCGTTTTTAAACACAAACTTTTAGATATTGTTTAAATTGGCCGGTCGAAAAACAAAAAATTTTAAGATTGAAATATTTAAATTTAAAATTTAAATTTAAAATCTTACATTTTAAATTTATACATTTAAAATTTTTTACATGGATGATTTAACTAACAAATATTATTAGTAGGTAGTGTTTTGGAAGATAAATATGAAGATTTAAAATAATAAAGATTTAAAAAAGATTTAAAATTATGAAGGAATGAAGATAAAATTTAGATTTGAATAAAATCACATAAATTTTTAAGTGGCTAAATAGGAGATTTGGTCCAAATTTAAATTTAAATTCATAAATATCCAAACATAGCATTAATGAATATCTTTCTTTTAAAAATCACTACTCCTATCCTTTTTTTTTTTTTTAATAAAAAGGCAACTATAGTTAAGAAATAAAAACCACACATCAAAACAAGATAAAAATACACCAATAATGTCTTTTTGCAATGAATGCAAAGACCATGGTGTTGAAAGTACAACATTAACAAATTACTATAAGAAGTGTTTAATAAATTAAGACCTAACGCATTCCATCTAGAATTAGGTAAACTACAATGTTCTTGTAAGATGAGAGCCATTTGAAGGCCTTCCCATTGAAGTTGAAGATTTCTAATTGCTTCTCATTAGGATTTATCTGGAAAAACATTTCTGATTTAAAAAAAACAAATTGCATCCGAAATATAAAAAGGTAATATTTCTAGTACAATTAGGCTCAGAATGTTAGAGCGGTAATTTTGAATCCAAAATGTTAACCGTTGTTTGATTCCCTAATCGGGGTACAAATCAACTCTTGAGTTTAAAGGACTGCCAAACCAACATGCTTTCGCAAAACTACAATGTAAAAATAGATGAGATTAAGTTTCAATGTTCTCATTACATAAAACACAAAACTTCTAAAACTTGCAAGTGATAAGATTTTAAGAAAGCACTTGAAGGCAGTCTGTTCCAGGCAATCTTCCAGAGAAAAACTTTGATCCTTGGAGAAATATTCAAAGACCAAATAAGAGACCAATCAAAACCAGATATAATTGATGAAGAAAAACTTTATAACCATCCCGAACAGTATATTGACCTAGAGAATTTTTTGTCCAGATTATACTATCTGGATAGTTGGAAAAGGGAATTGGAATCTTCAAAATAGAAGCAACAACATTAGGGTGATATAATCTCACCAGAAAAAAAAAACGTTAGAGTGATATAAAATAAAAAAAATTAATCATCTAATCCCTATAATTTTGATTCAATTATATTTTAGTTTTTAAATTTTGACTCATTGTAACTCAATTCTTAAAGTTTTGACTTAATTATAACTTAATCCCTAAACTTTGACTCATATAACGCAATCTCTATAGTTCTAACCATTTAAAATATTAGTTTTTATATTTTAGAAAATAAAATTAGAAAGATTAAATCTTTTTAAACTTTATCAAATTAAAATTTTTTATTAATCTAAAATTAATCCCTCAATGTCAACATAATTTTAATTTTTAGAATTTTATTTTTAAGATATAAGGACCAATATTCTAAATAGCTAAGACTATAGGAATTGAATTACAGGGAGTTAAAATTCAGAGATTGAGCTACAACCGAGTTAAAACTTTAAGAACTGAGGTATAACAAGTAAAAATTTAGAAGCTAAGTAACAATCGAGTTAAAATTATAAAGATTAAATAATTAATTTTTTTTATAAAGAATTAAGCAAAGGAAGAATCCAATTGAGGAAAGAGTGCCGTGCAAGGTTAGGCACATTCCCGTCGGAAGGTATATTACTTAACTGTTGCAAAGGCCACCAATGTTGACTAGATAAAGAAATAGAATTCCCATTTCTCAGACACCAAAACAAATTATCAAGTAATGATATTGCTGGATTTAACCATGTTTTTCTAATAGGGGAGGCAAAATATTTGAGGTCAAATTTAAAATAACAGTCATTTGATAAATATTTCCATCTCAAAAATTTTGCTAATAAAAGCCTTAACATTGCTAATAATCTGCCACGCATGTTTCTCCAATAAAGCATGATTAAAGGCCTCAATATTTTTAATTTGTAAACCACCACCCCCATAAGGCCCGCAGATATTAAGCCAATTAATCGGATGAGTTTTATTTTTGTCAACAGAATCATCCCCAAAAAAGCCAGCAAATTTCAAACTAATTTGGTTACAAAGATAATTAGGAAAGATCCATAAAGAGAGAGGATAAACCAGAATAGATGACAAAGTGTTTTGGATCAAAGTTAAATTTTCCAGCCGGAAAAGCCTTGATTTCCAAGAGCAAATTTTCCTGTCAATTTGTCTAAAAAGTCTTTACAGCGCACAAGAGAATTGCCATGACCATCAATGTAAGTTCCCAAATATTTCCCCAAGTGAGATATAAATTTAACACCCAGCAAACCAGAAAGAGAGAGTTTTAAAGAATGGGAGACAGGGACTGAAGACAATAATAGATTTGTTAAAGTTCATCCTCTGCCCTGAAATGCAGCCATACCTGTGAAGTAGAGCCAGCATGATTTTACAGTCTTCTACAGTGACTCTGCAAAATAACAGGGTATCACCAGCAAATATGTGGCGTGTTCGATGGGAATATCATCATTAGAAATTTGAATACCCTGCCACCAACCAAAATTTTCTGCCTGATTAATCATAAGAGAGAGAATATTAGCATATAACAAAAATAAAATGGAGAAAGAGGATCGTCATTACGAAGACCTTGTGCAGGTAAAATGCCGCCAGATGGAGACCCATTGAAAATTATCTGATAAGATACTGTGCTAATACATTGCATAATAACATGAATCCAATGAGCAGGGAAACACGTCTTGGTCATAATCTTTTGAAGAAAATGCCAGGAAACCTGGTTATAGGCATTTGCAATGTCAAGCTTGAAAGAACGCCGCCGCCTAACTTCGGATTTATAAGAATTATGAAGTTTAGGTATTGTTTCGTTGGGAGAGGAAAGAAAAAGGATTTTGCTTCTCTCTCTTTATTTGATTTGGAAGAGTGGAAGAGAGGGTTTGTGAAAGAAAAATTAAACCCTCCTTTTTAAATTGAGGGGATTTGAAGTAGAAGGGTATAATTTTGTTGCATAATGATTGATATACTTCTTCTTTTAATTTCTACTCTTTATCTTTTTAAACAAGTTTAGCAATGATAAATTTTTAATAATATATTTAATAATAATAATTATTCTATATATTTATAATTACATGTTAAAAACATTCATAAATATAATTTATTAGGAAAAATAATTTTAATAATATAAGGGTAAAATTATTTATATATAATTATTTTTTCTCTCCACATCTCTTAAACAAAATAAGGTAATATCAAAACTTTTCCCTCCTTTTTATTAAAATTCCTCCTCTCTCCTTAAATCAAATAGGCCCTTAGTCATGTATTCAAAAGCCAAAATGATGTTATCTATGTACTACTTCTATCCTTGATATAAAATAAAACTAGTAAAGTACTTGTGCAATTATTACAGTTTTTATAAATAGATTCGAAATAATAACTTGTAGAAGATATTTTATCCATATATATATTATCATATACGCAGTGGAGCTGTATAATTATAATAATTAATATTATATTTTTTTTTAAAATAAATCAAATGGTAAAAACTAAATACATATTGTGTAAATGTATACGATGAGAGGTAAATTAACAAAATTTTATAATTATTTAAATTAAATTATCGAAGACATCCTTATAAACAACATTAAAAGTTATATCTCTATAGTGATTATCTTTATCAAAAACTAATAATTTAAACTCTCTATACTTTGAACATGAGAAACAACAACATATAATTAGTCATTGGTGAAAAACAGGATGAGTTATGTGCAAACTAATATGACACAAGATTAAATCCTAGCTCTTATTAATTGACACTACAAAGGCTAGCATAATGAGAAACTACTTCTTTCTCATAATAAACGACAACCTTATTTAGATAGACACATATCAATACCTGGTATACATACTTTTATCTTTGTAATTGATCCAAACATTTACTGGGCTTTAATAACATGTTTTCTAGCCCGCGTAACTACAAGACATGTACCATTACACAACCCATAAACTTATCAATGTTTCGGTTCTCATTAAAATTAGGGCACCTACTTTAAGCCTTATTTCATAATTCAGGAGACTTGACATTGTAATTTAATTTAGAAAATATGTAGAGTGCAAGTTATTAAGTAAATTTATACCTCCAACATGTTTAATAATACTGTCAAAGCTCATGTGTACAACTTTCTCTCAGGAAGTAAGGATAACATGAACTTATTTACTTCTTCAGTTACAACCTATATAAGAGCTAATATAGCCCTATCTCTGAAATATGAAGAATTATATATATTGGTAAGGAAATTTGAGAAAGTTGATTAACAATAGACTTTACGATTATCTTAACCATATTGTAACAAATCAGCTAGGATTTTAATATTCATAAATCCTTCATTGGCTCCAATAGCAGTTTTATCACTAATTGAGATAATCCAATCAACAAAATTCTAAAAAGCACTAATAGATATTTCATTATTTGTTTCTAGAAGTCTCATGTCAATTATTATTGTCAAAAGTTGACAATTGTCTCAAGACAAAAAGTAAATGGTTACAAAAACAATGTCTTCTCTTAACCCACTTAGAATAATAGAAAGACCAAATTTACTTGAAGTCTCTACCAAACATAACAACTTTTTTTTCAAAAGGAAGATCACTAGCTAATAAGCCACTTAACTTTAGAATATCTTTTAGGCATCTATCAAGAGTTTCAAGATGAAACTTGTGTGCCATTAGAGCCTCATCTCATATGATCAATGATATGTGAACTAATAATTTAGCCAAGTTGCTCCCATGTTTCATGCTATGTAGTGTTTTCAATCATAGAAAGATGAATACAAAATTTGAGTAAGTTATATGTCCTTCTGGTGGGCTGTCCCGCTTGATGCTATATTGAGAATTATTTTATCTTTAAATCTTAATAAAGCAAAAAGTGTCCTCTAAACATACGTTTTCCCAACACCACCATATACATACATGAAAAAAAAATCTCCTTCATCAAATTCAACGGCATCATGATAAATTTTCTTTTTTTTTTTAAGTTAGACTCTAAAGCAATCTTATCAATTCATCATATAATGCAACCATATCATAAGTTCATTCATTTTTTATTAATTTGTTTCCACTTGTATCCAAACTTGACATGTCAAGTAAAAGTATAAGCTCATAATCTCTGCGACTTTTCCCATTAAATTGTAGTATTTTTTTCGATTTCAATTAGAGTTGGTAATATAAGTCAACCCATGGGTCGAACTTTGCCAAAAAGCAGCAGGTTGGGTTGCATATTTTAAAGCTCGATTAGATGTTGGCTTGTTTTAGCTCGCATCATATAACTCGAGCCCGCCAACCTACAAGCTAACTCGCTTATAATTTTTTATTTTAAAAATTTTTTATTGTTTAATTATTCCATCCTTCCTCTTCCACTCTTTATCACTTTGTTCCAAAACCTAATTAAAGTAATCTTCCTTATTTAATTAGTATAATATATAACTAGAATGAAATGGTAGCTAATACCATTTATTTTAATTAAAATAAAATACAATCTTCTCCCTCTATTTTGCTAAAATTACACAAGCCTCCTTTTTGATTTTAAAACCTACACTTTAGTATAATTTTTAGCTCCGTTAGGAATATTCAATTAAAAATTTTAAAATAGTTTAATTTTTAAATTTTAATTATATTAAAAACATAAAAGTGTTAATTGTTTCTTGTAATGTATTTGTATATTCTCTCCCCTCCTCAAGTTAAGAAACTTTAAATAATTAAATGTGAAAATTTTAAATAATTAATTTAAAAATTTTGTGACCAAACTAATAAAAAATTTTAAAAAATAAGCATAAATTATACCAACTAATTTATTCTCATTATGCATTACTTCCCTATTTCATTAAGCTTTTTGTATATACATGTTTAAAATATTATTTTAGATAACTTGTGTATTTATATTTTAAAAAAATATTTAAATAAATAAGTTTTCAAAACCAAAAAGTTTAAAATATGATTAAAATGTTTAAAAAATATTGCATTAAACTTTTTTTAAATATATTGAATAATTTCTAGATAACATCTATATTTAAATAGACTATTTTAATTTAATATATGACTTAACAGTCAATTAACAATTGGATGAATGAAAATAAAAATTTTAAATAGAAAAAAAAATTTTGTTTTAAAACTATTAATTATAGGGAAGATTCGTGTATCTTTAAAAAAATAAAAAGGATGTAATTTAATTAAATTAAATTAAAAGAGAAGTCAATGTATTCTAATTTTTTAATTATTATAATATATACATGCATGAAAATTCAAATTAAAATTGAAAATCTTTTCTAAACATCATATATTGAAATTTTAATTTATCTAACTTAAAATTCAAAATTTAAAATTAAAGAATTTTTTATTAAGAACTTAAAGTCTTTTTATTGTTAACTTTATTATAATGGCAATTCAAAATAATTGAATATATTGACCAGTATTATTAACTTATCCTACTTAAATTTTAGCATTGCCAAAATTTTAAATACTCCTCAAAGTTATAATTAATTTAGGAGAATTATTTTACTAAAGATATGTTTTAGAGATAATTTTCTATACATTCAATTGATCGATATGTTTTGCACTTTTAACTTATTTTGATAACATATTTAAATTTTAAATCTCAATATTTACTAATTAAATAAAATAATTATTTAAGTAAAAATATTGTTAAATTAATTAATACTATTTTAATAAGAAAATATAAATAAAATTATTTAATTGGAAAATAAGAGTATTTTTAGAATTTAAAATTTACACCAAAAAAAATCAATATCTTAACCTTATAAGAATATTGAATTTTATAAAAGTTCATCAAATTCCAATATTTTACAATAATTTGAGTTTTAAAGATTTAAATATAGATGAAGATGGATAAAAAATTATATTTTTAAAAGATATACTGTAACTGTCATCTTTTTATTTTGTATACATAAATACTTGAAATTGGTTCAAACATATTCACAAATTAACAATCAAACTTAATTTTCACAGTATAAAATCAATAAAAGAATATCAAAATAAAATCTTACATTTATATAAATTAGTCATGCAAAAAAGACTTGAGAATTTTACAAAATTAATTAAAGGATTAAATGACAAATTTGCTCTTGAACTATAGGTCTAAAAGTATCTAATACTTTAAATTTATTTTTGGTGCAATGTCTTCCTTCAATTTTGGAAAACAATGTAATATTGCACTGATAATTAATTGATGATAACTTTGATTGTTAGTTGACTAAAAAATTACTAAAAAGTACCTCAAAAATTATAGAAAAGAGATCAAGAAAATTTTCTTAGTCCTTTGTGTATTTTTTGATCCTTGTCTATATTTTTTAATCTTTTTCAATAATTTCTTGTTCAACAAACATTCAAAATTAATTTTTATTAACGTTTAGAGTGACATTTCCCTTTAACCTTTAATAAAAAGTGTGAAAAGAAAATAGTGGGCAACACCACTTACTTATAGTTGGTATAATATCTAAATGGGAGAAAAATTTTATTTAAATTTGATAATTTTTATCTAAATTATAGATCTTCATGACTATATTGGTTGAAATTTTGAAATTCAAATAAAATTATTTGAGATCTATGAAATTATGTTAAGTATTGTTAACCATATATTTTTTTTTTTGAACTTATATAGATATAAAAAAAGAATGCATTAATTTAGAGTACTGCAAAAGGGACACATGTCACAATTTAAAATATACACAAAATGACATGTGGCATTCGAATAACTGCATATTAAAATAATTATTGTTTAGTTAACTTAATAACTTTCTCACAACCTCTTGTTAAAATATTCTATACATGAGATCAATTTAAATAATTAAAATAAATTTTAAAATTTGAATTATATTTAGTATAAATAAT